CCAATGTCCCCTGTCCCCCCCATGTCCTCTGCATCCCCCCATCTGCTCCCCATGGAGGGACCCTTGTGGCTCCCATGTCCCCCCGGTGTCCCCCACTTTCCCAGTGTCCCCTTCCTGTTCCCCTGATCCCCCCAAGGCCTCTGAGTACCCTCCTGTGTCCCCATGTCCGTGTCATCCCTCGTCCTCGTGTCCTGTGTGTGTCCCCATGATCTCCGTGTGCCCCTGTCTTCCCTGTGCCCCTCAAGTCCTCAGTGTCCCCCATGTCCCCATGTCACCTGTGTCACTGAGTGTTCCTTTCCAGGGGAATGGGGAGCAGGGACCGTGTCCCCCTGGGTGATGGGGACAGGGGCTGTGTCCCCTGCAGTAACAGGGAGCAGAGACCATGTCCCCATGTCCCCTTCCCTCAGGCACGACGGGATCAAGGACAGATGGACACCCAGGAGCCAGGACAGGACATCTTGTCCCCTGCACTGTCACCCAGCACTGAGCTCCACAGCTGAGCCCTGCGGTGACACCGTTTATTGTAGGACCTACAAAAAAGCAGAGGCAGCTGGATCTGCTTAAAGAGCCCTGACTCAGCCCAAARGGGGGGCTGCAGGGGGGTCGGGGTGACCCCATGGGCACCATGAGAAGGTTTGGGATTGGGGAAGCCACCTGGAAATCCCATCCCGGCTGTGCCAGAGGATCCTCCCGGCAGAAGGGACAACACAATCCCCAAAGCAGGGACACATGGATGCCTGGGTGTGACAGCTAATGATTAATTATTTAATTCATTCCATGAACAAATTAATTTTATAAGGCACAAGGAGAGGATGTCTGTGGTGGGTAAAGCACTGCTGGACATTTCGGATGGGCCACCTTCCCAAATCCAACAGCACAGATGTGGGATGGGGTCAGGTTGGCAGTGATGGGAGAATCCCAAAGGATGGATTGATTTGCTTGTCGATCCCTGCACCRGCATCCAGCTTTTCCTGCTGTTGATGTCCCATGGATGAGATGCTCCCTCCAGAGAGAACGCGGCACCCGGAGATTCACCCTCCAGCCGGGTGCTCGATCCCGGCACATCCCGCAGGSACCTGGGTGCTGCCAGCTCTCCACAGATCCCCCAGGCCCCAAATTTTTGTCCCCTCCAGGTTTTTTTCTGCTTTTTTTTCCTGCTGTCACCGGGACCAGCGTCGGGCCAACACTGACATCAAGCGGCTGCCGGGCTCCCTCGCATTCCGGGGCTCTCCTGCCTCTCCCCGTGCCGGGAGGAGCCCATCCTGCCCGGGAGAGGCTCCGAGCTGCTCGGGAACCGCGGCCGCAGGTGCCCGGTGTCCATCACCCCTCTCCGGGCGGGCGGGATGCATCCAGCCGTGCTCCATCTGCTGTCCCCAGCCAGGCCACCCCCGTGTCCTATCCTGTCCCCAGCAGTCGATATCGCAGCGGGGTCGAGCCGAGCGCTGGCGGCATCGCCGAGCCGGGAACATCCACGCATCCCTCACCCTCCGAGAGCCGGGGGGGACCCCCGACCCCCGCCCGCGGGACCCCCGCCCGCGGCACCCCCGTCCCCGGCTGTGCCCCGCCGCTGGCAAGGTCGTGGTGACAAAGGCACGGCGGGGTTGTGGTGACCCCGCCATCGCCCTGGGGACATTTGTCCTTACTCCCTGCCGGGGACCGTGGACTTTGTGCCGAGCCTGGGAGCGGCGTTGGGACGCGTCTGGCGGCGCTGGCACGGCCCCAAATCTCCCCGAGACCTGGCTCCGGACAGCAGGTAACCCCAGGTGACACCCCCTCCGCTCGGGCTGCTGTGACATGTCCCCGTGTGTGGCTCCCCGGGGATTTCGGGTCCCGGTGCGGTCTGTGGTCAGCTCCGGCAGGAAATCACGATGTTGTTCCCATTTTAAATCTGGGCAAACTGGACAAACCGGGCGCACCGGTCGCCAGAGCGGCTGCAGGCTCCTGCTTTTGGGGGATAAAGGCTGGAAAACACATTTTTCCTCCAAACCACCTGATTTGGAGGCCTGGAAGAGTTTTGCAACTCSCCATTTACCTTCAGCCCGGCTTCCCTGCAGTCGGAGCCGGGCTGTCCCGGGAAGCTGAAGCCCATGGTGTGTGTCGGGGGAGCGATAGTTCCGCTGGGATATTGCTGCAGGTGGAGCTGGGACTGGGGGCAGGTGTGGGTGCTCAGCCCCTCCGCAGGAACCCACCCACGGCTGGGAAGGAGGCGGGGGTTGGCCGGGGCCGGGCTGCGGGTGGATTTAACCCCTGAGAGGCTCCAAACTCGGGATAATTTCTAGGAGAGCAGCGCCGGGCTGGGGTCTCTGTTTTATAATGAGGTGTGTCAGGTCTCTGCGGACTCCTCACCCTGGGTTTTCTTCGTCTGAGCCCCCGCGTTGCAAACCTGCGCCCCTGCACGGTGCCAGCCGGGATGTCGCGGGGTTGGGACACMATCTGGGGACGGCTCGGTGCTGCTGGGGGTTGTTTACCCCCAGGTCCGGAAGCGCTCTGCTGGGAAGGAAAGGGAGGGGAGAGTCGGGGCTGTTCCCAGCACCGGAGCGGGAGGGATGCTCCCGGCTGCACCCCGAGACATCCCCATAGGAGACATCYCCRATTGTGTGRTCCCTGYTGTCCTCAGTRTCACCCCTTCCCTTCCTCCCCAGCTCCCCGGTGACTCTGCAGTGACCAGGAAAGGTCAGGGACCTGCAGGTGGCCTGGGACAGGAGGGACTGGGCAGTGACAGGTCAGTGCTGCGGCTCTCGGGTTGGGGTTTTTTTTGGGTGCTGCTGCGTGGCGCCCTCGGCTGTCATTGCCCTGTCCTCCCAACCTTTCCGAGGATGGGGCGTGGAGGGGCCGTGCAAGGAAACAGCTCCTTTGCCCTACAAGTGCGGCTTTCCTGGGGATTTCCTGGCTGATGTAAGACAGCGCATGGGAAAAACATCGGCTTGGAGCCTGAGGCGCTCCTGGGACGCGGCTGTCCCYATCCAAGAAGGGGCCTTGCTTTAGGTGTTGGCTGGGTCCCTCTAGATCCGTCAGGATGGGGCTCTGGGGCGGGATGGGGATGTGGGTGCAGATGGAGCGACGCCGCTGCTCTCCCGTGGCAGGGGGAAGGTGCAGAACCCCAGGGAGCAGCCGGAGCAGAGCCACGGCCATCACCTGCCCCAGCACCCCCGTGCCAGCCCSGGGGACACACCCAGCGCCTGTCCTGACCGTGCCAGCAGCCGGTGGCACCGCCATGTCCCAGGCAGGAGGTACAGCAGAGCCATCGCTCTGTCCCCAGAGAGGCACAGGGGACCCCAGCACTGGTGTCACCCCCGTCCATCCCATATTGGCACCAACCCCCATCCCATCCCGGTCCTGTTCCTCATGGATTTTTGGTCCTAAAAGCCCCTTTCACCCCAAGCCTGACTTGCAGGGCACTGGGATGCTGCAGGAGCTGTCCYCATGCTCTCCCCAGCTCCCATCCAGGCTCTGTGGGGAGGGTGGTTGGTCCCAGATGGAACAGGGGGGACACAGAAATTACCCCAGGATGGGCAGGCAGACCCCTGGCCCCCAAAACTGGGGAATCCCTGCATGGCCCACATTAATCCMTCCCCCAGGAGCTGAGGAGGCCTTTGAGCACTGTGACGTGGTCATCAACAGCCAGGACAAGGTTTCAGATTTGTACACACAGCTGGAGAAACTCGGGGAGTAAGTGGGGGTGCCACGTCCCCCCCACCCGGGGATGGCTCACGGCTGTCCCTGCACAGCCCTGGTGGGRTGCAGGGGGTGCTGGTGGTGTCTCCTCCATCCCTCACCCTCCCTTTGCCCCAGGGGGAAATTCGGGACGGTGTACAGGCTGCAGGAAAAGGCCACCGGCAAAATCCGGGCTGGGAAATATTTCCGGACACGCACGGCGAAGGAGAAGCAGGCGGCTCGGGCCGAGGTGGAGCTGATGAACCTCCTGCACCACCCACGCCTCGTGCAGTGCCTCGGAGCCTTCCAGGGCCCCGCAGAGCTGGTGATGATCATGGAGTAGTGAGTGATGGCAACAGTGCTGGGCTCTGCCAGGGGGGCACTGAAGGTGGGGAGGGGTCCCTGTGCCATGGGGTGGATGGGGAACCTGGAAACCCTGGAGTTATGAATGCTGAGATCCTCCCAGAGTGCTGTGGGCTTCTCCTTAGGGCTGGKAGACCCCAAAGAGGTCCCCAACAMAGTGGCAGGTGGGGAGGGGTCCCTGTGCATGGAGTGGATGGGGAACCTGCAGATCAGGGTGGGGAGGTGCTCCCAGTCTGGGTTCTCTGGTGGKGCTRCCCCTYCTCTGAGCTGGTTCASCCCARYGGGGTCCCCAGCACCTCATTRTSCCCAYWGKGGCAGGTGGGGAGGGGTCYCTGTGCTGTGGGATGGRTGGGRAACCTGCAGCCCCTGCAGATCAGGGTGGGGAGGTCTCACAGAGCTCTCAGTCTGGGTTCTCTGGTGKGGYTGTTCACCCCAGTGGGGTCCCCCAACACCTCATTGTCCCCAGTGTGGCAGGTGGGCAGGGTTCCCTGTGCCATGGGGTGTGGGTGTGGAGTGGGATGGGGAACCTGAAGACCCTGGAGTTATGGGTTGTGAGATCCTCCCAGAGCACTGAGTTCTCTGGTGGGGCTTCTCCTTAGGGCTGATAGACCCCAAAGAGGTTCCCAACACCTCATTGTCCCCATTGTGGCAGGTGGGGAGGGGTCCCTGTGCCGTGGGATGGGTGGGAAACCTGCAGCCCCTGCAGATCAGGGTGAGGAGGAGCTCCCAGAGCTCCCAGTCTGGGTTCTCTGGTGGGGCTGGTTGGCCCCAGCAGGGTCCCCAGCCCCTCACTGTCCCCAGCGTGGCGGGCGGGGAGCTCTTTGAGCGCATTGTGGACGATGACTTTGAGCACACGGAGCCCAGCAGTGCCCAGTACGTGCGGCAGATCCTGGARGGGCTGTGCTTCATGCACGGCCAGGCCATCGTCCACCTGGACCTCAAACCTGAGAACATCGTCTGTGTCAGCCCCAGCAGCCACCAGGTCAAGATCATCGACTTTGGGCTGGCACGGCAGCTGGGTGAGCAAGGACGGGGTCTGGGGGTCCGGGGTGTCACCAGYACGGGGACAGGAGCTGGCCAAGCCAGCAGCTCGGTGTCCTCCTGCCCAGGACACCAACCCAGGGCCTTCCTGGTGACCACACCACGCTCTGGGKCAGCCTGGGTGTCCCCAGCCCTGCTCCTGAGCTGGACACCCCTGTGCCCGTGGGTGCCTGGCACACAGAGGGGCTCCAGGAGAGCACCGAGACCTGAGTGGGTCCTGGAGGGTGGCAGCTCCACCTGGGGACAGGGGCTCATCCACCTGGGGTGTGTTRGTGTCCTCTGTCCCGAGGAGGTCCTGGCTGGACACCCATCCCAGGGCGATCCTGGCTGAACACTGGCCCCAGGGCAATCATAGTGGGACACCTGTCCCTGGGCAATCTCAGCAGGACACCCATCCCAGAGAAGTCCCAGCTGGCCACCTGCACCAGGGCGATCCCAAATGGCCACTGGCCCCAGGGCAATCTCAACTGGCCACCTGCACCAGGGAGATCCCAAATGGCCACCGGCCCCAGGGCAATCCCAACTGGATACCTGCCCCAGGGTGATCCCAACTGGCCACTGGCCCCAGGGCAATCCCAGCTGGACACCTGCACCAGGGAGATCCCAAATGGCCACTGGCCCCAGGGCAATCTCAACTGGATACCTGCCCCAGGGAGATCCCAAATGGCCACCTGCATCCTCTCTGCAGCTGCAGACACGCCTGTGAAGGTGTTGCACGGCACCCCTGAGTTCATGGCTCCAGAAGTGGTCTCCTTCGAGCCCGTGAGCTTGTCCACGGACATGTGGAGCGTCGGCGTCATCTGCTACATCCTGTGAGTGCCCTCCTGGGCAGGGCAGGCCGGGCTGCGGGGGCTGATCTGTCTCTCATGTCCTGGGGTCCCCTGTCCAGGCTGAGCGGGGAGTCCCCGTTCCAGGGGGACACRGACCTGGAGACGCTGAGCAATGTCACAGCCGCCCGGTGGGACTTTGAGGAGGAGACCTTCTCGGAGATCTCRCAGCAAGCCAAGGACTTCATCAGCCAACTGCTGCAGAAGGACCCCCGGTAGGGCCTGGGGCAGCTTGTGGGGTGCTCAGCTGGGGCTGGGCTGGGTTTGGGGTGCTCAGGGGCTGGGCAGGGGAAAGCCCTGCCTGTTGGGTGAAGGGGACGCTCTGGATGAGGGTCTGAGGGTGCAGAGCAGCACCCCATGACCCCGCTGTGCCCCCCAGCCGGCGGCTCCCCAGTGCAGGGGCTCTGCTGCACCCCTGGCTGCAGCTCCCCCAGCCCAGCAGCTGCAG